TTTGGCAAGAAACAACCCTGGCACTCAAAAAGGGGTCCCCAAAGGAGCATTCATCCAAAAAAGACCCTTTTGGGGGTTCCATGTTGATCTGCAGGAGAGCACCCGTATCAGATTGTCAGAACTACTCACATTTGTCCCATGTTTGAGGTCCATAGTCGCACAATATCATCATCATCGTCATCATGATCGTCATCATCTTCATCTTCATCTTCATCTTCATCTTCATCTTCATCTTCATCATCATCATCATCATCATCATCATCATCATCATCATCATCATCATCATCATCATTTTGAGCCGTAGTGTTTTCCCTAAAATAGGGGATACACAGCAGGTGCGCTGGCCTTTGGTGTCCATTGAAACTGTCCACCAACACGTTTCCGGCCCAATCACACCGGGCGTGGGCCACCCCTTTGAAAGGGGACCAGGGACTTGTGTGAAGAACTGCCTGCCCCGTGCTCAAAATGCTTAACCACTATTGTCCAAAAGATCTTCTTTGGGCCATTTGTTCAAGATCATCAGACATTTGATGTTTGAAAATACATTGCCCTGCTGAAGCCTGGCTACCTGACAAAAGCCTGGCAGATCCTTTTCCGCCAAAAAAGGACCCAAGCCGCAGTCCAAGTTTGTTGTTGCCCTACGGGTTGCTAGGCATGCAAAGTTTACGGCTCGTCCCCTGGTTGGTGTGGAACATTTAGAGAGTCCGAGCCTCTTCGGCTGGTTTCCATATGGGAGCGAGGGTACTCGCGTTCATTTGTTCTTGTTGCGACCTTTGCCGAAGGTTCATGCGGTTGCCCTCATTGCGACGTTGCAAGACCCACGACCCAAACAATACCCGCGAATGAACTCAACGGCACGTTGGGAATGCTTGTCATGTTCTTTGTTGGGCGGGCCCCCTTTTTGTCGACTCTCAACAATCCACTTTTGGGGCAGTTGGCTTCCCTTGTTCGGGCAGGACTTCTTCATTTTTTGCTTGATTTGAACTTGCTTTACTGTGGGGCATCACCTTACCCCCATGTGGTGATTTGGGGCCGTGGCTTAATGGTGAGGCTTGGGGTTTACAGCTACCTCCCCTCTTCCCCAACGGGCGTTTGTTCAAAATTGAGGTCCCCCAAGTTCTGAATGCCGTCTCCTTTTGGGTTCCTTCGAACGCCCACGAAAAGGGAGTCACAGACCATCTTGACAAACACTCACCACTGGCTCACTTGAAAGGATTGGCAAAAAAAAAATCCAAACTTGTTATTTACCCCAAAAATGGTCTTCTCAAAAAGTAAAAAGTCCATGAACTCGAGAAGTGAGACGGTCTCCAGCCTTAGCATCCCTCCCTGCCTAAGCCCACTTGCCCTCCGGGGCCCCCAGCGGGATCTGCGCTGCGGCGCACAGCTGCCTGAGCCGTGCACCGAAACGAACTCCTCAGATGCCCAGTGGCTGTCCGGGAAAAAAGAGAGCCCCTTTTTTGGTTAGTTGAGTTTAAAGGGGAACCCTTACCCAAAAAAAGAGGAACAAGAAAAAAGGCTACTGTGGAAACGAAACAAACGAAGCACTTGGCTGACACAAAAGTTCGAAGCGAATTGGTTTTCCCGAAACAAGTGCGGACCCTGCTACATAGCGACAGGGGTTTGGGGGGGGCAGGCTCCCAATGTTTGAACCGGCAGCGTGGTTTCGTTGCACTCGCTGCAGCACCAACTCCGCTGATAAGACCCTCCACCCTCCAAGAGTAAGCCAGCCTTCCGGCGATGGCACATGGCAATTTTCACGCAATGGACATGAGAGTCGTGCAAGGGTAACCTTGCAAGGGTAGGCTCCATGACACCTTTGAAACCTTGATCAGCACCAACAACAGCAAGCGTGTTTAACAGCATGTCGGTCAAAGTGCAACTGTTGGGCAACTGTCCATGTCCATCAAAGTGTTCGTCTTTTCTGCGCGAGTGTCTGTCTTTTAACCTCTTCGCGGACGACAAAGTGAACAACAGCATGCCTAGTGCAAATCTCACAATCTGCAATGATCAAATATACTTCAAAAGGGCCAGTGCTCCACTGAACACTCCAGTGGACCTATCGAATCCGAAACAAACACTTTGTTGCCGTGGCAGTCTTGAGGTGCTTTGCAAGTCAAACATTCCTGTGTGTGTTTGTGTGTCGCCGGTCCGTGCCGCAAATCAGAAAACAAAAACCACTGAAATACAGAAGTGAGAAATAAAGCGCGGGGTCCTTCCAAAACCCACCAAACAGGTTGCATTACGGTCCAAGCGACAGGCAAAGCTGAGTCTTTCCACTTCCTGGCAGACCGCTCACCTGCGAGAGCTGCAAAAAGCAGTGGGGTTGCAACGAAAGCTGACAGGGAACAATCCATGATCCCTGGTGTCAAGAGGGTGCAATACCCAACATTTTCGCCTGAGATTCAAACCTCCTGGGCCCCGTGTTGCTTATTTGCCCAAAGGACCCGGAAATGAACAGTTGGCCTTTTGGCGCTATGACTATGGACCAAACAAGGAAACAAAACAATAAACAACAGGTTTGATCCGGTCGATTCGCTTCGGGCAACTGAGGTTGGGTTCCCCTTGTAAATCCGATTGCAAGGGAGGCTAAAGATCAGAGTTAACTTCTGGTTTGGTCATTTTGATGCGATGGTTTCTTGACAGTCAATGCCATGGTCAACCCCCCCCCCACCTTGGGACTCGGTAAACTGAGGGGGGGGCCGCCTAAAAGGGTACTTGCGAAAGTACAAATATATACCCTTTTACAGGGGCCGTCTAGGGGAACCTAAAGAAAACAATGCGGGAATATGCGGGAAGTTCACCTATGGAGCGACCCTGAATTGATCAAGGTATTAGACAACAAGACTCGTAAGATCTCGTAAGATGCCAATGTGAATCGAACACAAGGAGGGAGGGCCAAGCGCTTGTCATCCGAAGTGACTGGAAGTGATACGACAAGTTATCCCAAACTACGGCGCAGTGCCTCAAGCGTACCCTGAAATGCCGTGCCTGGGTGTTGCATTAAAACAAAACTGGGGAACTAGCACCTGAACAGCGCGAAGAAGAAGTAACTGACTTGGTGACAAGCCCAGGGAGTTCCTCCCCAAGATGAAGGCCCTCTGGTAATGGGCAGGCACGAGTCCTGGGCACATTGCCAAGCCCAGTCTGGGCCAACTTTTCTGAGACAGGATCAATGATCCAGTGCCTCTTTTTGCATACTCCCCAGATTGGCATGGAACCCCTCGAAAAGACGCCCACCATGTGAGCAGTTCTCCCCCCTGGACTTCCATGCGAAAATGTCCAGGGCAAAAGATCTGCACGTGGGGGAAGTCCCCCCAAAAGGATCTCCTCCAGCTTGCATGCTCCAATTCATCGCCAAGGGGGTCACGAGTGCATCTTGCAGGGGTCACTGAATTTCCGCTTAGCTTGGAATCGCCAAGGGGTTTACGAAAATATTGGGTTGCCACAGTCCCTGAATATCGCCTTGGAATGTGATGGGTTCCTGAAACAATGAGTACCGCAATCATTACCCTAAGATGAAACCAGATTTCCTCTTGGAGGCAATGTGAACACATGTTTCCACGAAGTTTGTTCCAGGGCTGCCTGTCAGAGTTGCATTCTTCAGCAGACTGAAACCCGGGGGCTGGTTTCCCCCTGAGAAGTCTATGGATATTTCAACACATATGCCAGGCCACACTTCAAACCTGGTAAAGGTGTTTATCCAAAACCGGACAGAACATCAACAAGACGGATAGCTGCACCTCATCACGTCTGGTTGGGACGTACCTTACCCTTTGTCTACTCGGATAAACATGGACATGGTTGGAACTTCGTTAAGGGAAAGCACTGACCCTTTTAGCTTCTGGGCAATCCATGATAAGTCACCGGCTGGCAATCAGGAATCCCCTAATAAGAACCTTCACGATGGGTGAGCCACAATGTAAAGTTCTCAGCGTGAATGCAACTCTGTGTTTTTCTTGCAAAATGATGCAGCAGGTGCCATGAAACAGAATGAACCCTAGGAAGCCCCTGCAAACATGGCCATGAAACACAATAATTACCCCCTCACACTGCTGTGATTTGAACTGCAAGTGAGCGGGTGTCATGGATATGCACTAATGTGATCCAATGCGAAACAGCTCCTGGTCTGAGCATTGATTTAATGGGGGCCCTTTGGTGGACATGCAAGTAGAGATTCACGTCCACCAATCGCTTATGAGGCATCTCATCCAAATGAACATCAATCAATCAATCTCCAATCATGTATATGTTGATTTACCAATTCGAATTGGTAAATCAATCTCATTCACAAATCCTCGGCATTTCATGTTCCCTGTCAATCAAAGCCAGATCATCCAAATTCCAGGCAAGCCGTCGGCCGATTCGGTGCCTCCAGCAAGGCGCCGCCGCCGCGCAAGGCATTGCCCAGGAGGCGGTTCAGGCCTGAACCCCCCGCGCGGGCAAGGAGTCAAGGACGGTTTTCCCATATCATCATTTTCAGGTACTCAAAAAGAAGTCCGTGAACTCGGGAAGTGAGGGTATAGGCTCGAAGGTGGGAGCTTTGAAGGGTGGGATTTCAGGAATGGGTTTGGAGATACTGTATGAAGTTTCAGGTGTGGATTTTGAAGCTTTGCGATTGAAGGTTTGAGGCTTATATTTGGACAACCACACGTGCATCCTGAACATGTTGACAATCATCTAAGCTGCCCAGCGAACAAAGGAAGCACCTTCTTGCTGTTCATGCTTTGCGAGAGCCAGCTGAAAAGACATACTAAACTGGACAACTAACCCCAACACGCGACTTAAAATAGCCAGCAGCCACATCATGAGAGACCGTTTTGGCCAGCGAAGGTCTTCAGACGGCTCTGATGCTCCTTAGAAAACATCCAGCACTGCGTGTGGCTAAAGATAGATCTCCTCGATTTCACAGGGGGGGAGGGGTCCCTGAAGGATTTCCTGAAATGAAAAAACACCATACGTGGGTTCCAACAGCATGCAACGATCAAAACTCCATCTTTTTTCCACTGCTGGACAGCGGGTGCAGCCAGGCAGCACTCAAAAAACTCCCGCTGTGCATGAGGCAAGCAAGAGTTCTCAGAAGCCGTTCTCGATGAGGCGCTTCATGAACGGGGTGATGGAGCCCTTGCCCTTGGCCGTCTTGAACTTGTTGGGCTGGAGGCCGAAGTACAGGCTCCTGGCCAAGTCAACGGCAGCAATCAGCACCACCAAAGCCACCACGAACAGGGCTGCGATCTGGCCATCGGTCAAGCCATCCTCCTCCGGGATGGGCACCACAAGGCCCAGCTCCTTGGTTCGCTTTCCACCCGGCACACGTGCCAACAAGAGCTGCGCGTCCATCATCTGCTGGTCATAGGCCCATGCTGGCATGACCATGGATCCCGCAGCCACGCCCGCAGTCAAGGCGGCCGCATTCTGGCTCTTGGGGGATGACACAAAGGCGCGGGGGGCGACAAGCATCACTGCCGCAGCCACCAGGCACAGGACGAGAGGAGAGCGCGCCATGATGCACTCAAGTTCAGCTACTGGGAGACCAAGTGCCGTGAAGGAGGCAGGCAGCCTGAGCCCAAACCACCCGGAACCCGCGCCTGTCTGAGTGCAGCCAAGCTGGTATCGTCTTGTTGCTACTTGCCACCACTGTAGGTGTGTTTGGTAGAATTAACTTCGACATGAGTACCATTCAAACCAACGATTATTTCAACACAGAAAGGCCTCTGCTAGGTCCACACAACTTTCAAACTCCTGCTTGTGCCGGCGACACAACACACAAACACATCTATTAGCTTCTTGCTTCTTCTGTGAGACTTGTGCTTGGTGCTTCTAGGTCAATGTTCTCGGACGGGATGAGATTTGCCAAGTCTTCTTGCTCCTTCACAAGACCACGTGCTTGTGATGAAACAGCTGCATGAGCAGATCAAAAAAGACAACAGGCTTCCTGGTTCTCAGAAGCCGTTCTCGATGAGGCGCTTCATGAACGGGGTGATGGAGCCCTTGCCCTTGGCCGTCTTGAACTTGTTGGGCTGGAGGCCGAAGTACAGGCTCCTGGCCAAGTCAACGGCAGCAATCAGCACCACCAAAGCCACCACGAACAGGGCTGCGATCTGGCCATCGGTCAAGCCATCCTCCTCCGGGATGGGCACCACAAGGCCCAGCTCCTTGGTTCGCTTTCCACCTGGCACACGTGCCAACAAGAGCTGCGCGTCCATCATCTGCTGGTCATAGGCCCACGCTGGCATGACCATGGATCCCGCAGCCACGCCCGCAGTCAAGGCGGCCGCATTCTGGCTCTTGGGGGATGACACAAAGGCGCGCGGGGCGACAAGCATCACTGCTGCAGCCACCAGGCACAGGACGAGAGGAGAGCGCGCCATGATGCACTCAAGTTCAGCTACTGGGAGACCAAGTGCCGTGAACAAGGAAGCCTGAGCCAAAACCACGAGAACCAGCGACTTTCTGAGTGCAGCCAAGCTGGTATCGTCTTGTTCGGTACTTGCTAACAGCACGTGACAGCACGGCAACACAGTCGTTTGGTCTTGTTCAACATGTTGCTCTCTCATGATGCCAGCATGTTTGTGCAAACAACTCTCTCATGCCCCGGACTCAACCAACTCCTGCATGCACAAGACATACCGTGTCAGGGCACTTTTCCTGGCTTGGCTTGAACATGTGTTTGATGCTCCAAGGACAATGTTGGGTAGGTAGTGTTGCCAAGTCTTTCACAAACCGGAAGGTTCGTGATGGAAGCAGCTGCCAAAGCTGCGGTAAAAAACGGCCTGCCCCTCTCAGTCAGCTATGTTCCAACACCTCATTGCAGGAAGATGAGCAAATTATAATATCTCAGAAGCCGTTCTCGATGAGGCGCTTCATGAACGGGGTGATGGAGCCCTTGCCCTTGGCCGTCTTGAACTTGTTGGGCTGGAGGCCGAAGTACAGGCTCCTGGCCAAGTCGACGGCAGCAATCAGCACCACCAAGGCCACAACGAACAGGGCTGCGATCTGGCCATCGGTCAAGCCATCCTCCTCCGGGATGGGCACCACAAGGCCCAGCTCCTTGGTTCGCTTTCCACCCGGCACACGTGCCAACAAGAGCTGCGCGTCCATCATCTGCTGGTCATAGGCCCATGCTGGCATGACCATGGATCCCGCAGCCACGCCCGCAGTCAAGGCGGCCGCATTCTGGCTCTTGGGGGATGACACAAAGGCGCGGGGGGCGACAAGCATCACTGCCGCAGCCACCAGGCACAGGACGAGAGGAGAGCGCGCCATGATGCACTCAAGTTCAGCTACTGGGAGACCAAGTGCCGTGAAGGAGGCAGCCTGAGCCAAAACCACGCAGAACCAGTGCCTTTCTGAGTGTAGCCCAGATTCATATTGTATCGTCTTGCTGCTGCTTGCCACCATGTGCCATACCATTTCAATCCAATGATTATATCTCTACAAATAAAGGCCTTTGCCAATGACACGGAATTGGCAAACTGTTCCTTGTGCCGGCGCTCACAAGCA